AATTAACTCTTTCTATTACCAATGATGTTATCAGAATACGTGAGGTAATCAGTAGGCACTTGTTTATATTAAACTACTAATGTGTTTCGTGTCTACCAATCATATTTTGCAATAGATTGTATTACCTAAAATTCAGGGTCAAACTGACGTAGGCAAAATTCCTCAAAAAATTAATATTTTTGGATAACTGTAAGAGGAAAGAAACAATGGACAGACACTTTGAAAATATGGCTTGATGTTTGCTACCACCCATTACAAAAAATCTCTATAAATATGCTTTAATATGAAAAACTTTGAATACTATACTATTAATTCTTCTTTCTTGCAGAACTTTTTTACTGTAAGTAAAGAATATATTTCTTAACTTTTCTAGATCACAGAAAGTCAAGTTTTTGTTTGAAAATGAATATAAATAAGAAAAGGATTTAGGAATATCTCTTGAAGTAAAACTTCAAGTTGATTTAAGAATAGTGTTAAGACTTTATTAGTAAAAAAATAAAAAATTTCTTATGAACATCTTTTTTGTATATGGATAGAGGATCAGCAAAAAGAGTTTTTTAAAATTTAAAATTAATATAATTTACATCTATTAGATTAACTATATATATATAATATTTTGAATATAATTATATATCATCTAAATTAAAGAATTTGATAATAATTAATAGTATTATTTATATAAAGATTATAATTTAAATTAGAATCTGAAATTAGTGAATAGTCATTGTATCAAAGTAATAAATTGAAAAAAGAAGTTAAATATTATCAAAAAAGAGAAATAAATAAAAAAGTATAAGGATAGATTAAATACATCAATTTTATAAGATCCTAAAGAACTGACATTATCTTTGGTAGGAAATATGAAACAAGAAAATAAAAGAAGAAAAAAAAAAAGAATTATATAAAAATTAATAGAGAATAGGTCTGTTATAGTATTAAGTAATTCAGATTTTAAACTGTAGATAGAACTTAGAATAATCTACAGTAATAATTTATAGGCAATAATTTTATTGATTTAAGGTTAATCTAAATTAATAAAAAAGTAAAATATCATTTTCTAGATTGCATCTAAAAAATCAATTTTTCTATGACAAGTGAGTTAATATGTAAAAGTTATAGCAACTTTATAAATATTTTACATATATTCAATAAAGATATATCATGTTGATCTAACTATAAGTTAAAAAAAAAAAGATCTGAAATTAGTTAAAATTATCTTAACTTAATTAATTATCTTTAGTAATAAGTTAGAAATAATAATAAAAAAAGTAAAAAACTAATCAGTAAAGTGTTTCTAACTTTTAAATATTAAACTATTCCATATTCTCTATTATAAAAACTATTGAAAAGCTTTAATTAAAAAAAATCAATAGATTACTTTAAAGAATTGAAATTTGAATTCAGAATAATATATTTGATAATTTAATAGCTAATCTACTTATAATAAAAATATGTTTAAAAAATTGCAGAAAAAATTAAATAACTTTTTGAAAAAATAGTACTTATATATAAAATATAATCAATATAACCAGTCTCATAAGATTTGTGAATCTATAGTGTAGTAGTAGTACTCCCAGGTTATCAAGTACTGTTTTCAAGTTCAATACCATTGCAAGGCAGTACTACCTAGTTTAGGTAGTATAAAAAGATTTCATTTATTTAATGATACTAATTACTATCATTTTTAATCAAAATCTCATTTGATTATGTAATATTAAAAGATCACAAAATATTTAAACTAGTTTTAGTATTAAAGCCACCTTGTCACAAGATAGATTCTATCAAGCTTTTGCAAATAGGTTAAAGATCTGCATAGCTGTAAATTAAGAAGACTAACAAAACCTAGGCATGTTAGTTAGAAGAAGGTTTCTATCAAATCAATTTTAAGATTTTATATGGTTATTCTATAGGCAGGCTATAATAACTTGTGTAAAAATAATTATCGATAGGATAATATGATATCTAAAACTTTATGTAAGTATTTTATAAGCATACTGTAATAAGATATTATAAAAAAATATATTTAGTGAAACAAGATATAAAAGGGATCCTGTGTTGTAAATCCATATCTATATAAATAAGAGTTATTGAAGGGTAATATAAATATAGGTGGTAGGATAGTAGAGCTTCTTTCAATAACAAGGCACAGAAATATATTAGATATTATAATCGAATTTATTTTGAAAATGGTAGATATAGTTCATATCATTATAACTTTAATATAAAAATAATTATAAAATAGTTTTATAATTATAAGCTAAAACAATATGTATAACTTCTAAAACTAGTCTTATATAAATAGATTATTTAGATAATGGATATATATAGTACTTATTTAATATATATAAGGTATAACTAAAGTAGTTTACCAATAAATTAATAAAAAATGGTAGATAAAATATATTATACAATTATTAAGTAAACTAAAATCCAAAAGTTTGAATTAAATATAATATAAAAAAATTAAATAAAAGTTGAAGAGATAGATTTGTTTTTAAATTTTTTTGATAAGATTTTTTAATTGTTTTTTTTTTATCAATATTTATTCTTTTTTATTTAACTTAACAATTTATTGGTTTTAGAATTAATCGATAGTAATAAACTATTAATAATGATTCTAATAAATAAAGATTAATTCAATTATATTAGAAAAATATAATATTATTTCTAAAATTTAATTTAAAGTACTTATATAAAATACCAAATTAATTATTTTATAAATGTTTATGAATTATTATGGATTTTATTTTAATTTTTCAATAAAAAAAAGCTAATATATTATAATTGTGAATTAAAAAATATTTAAATAAAATATTTAAAAGATAATTATTAAAATTAAATTGAAATTAATAATATACAATTAAATATATACAAAAAATAAAAAAAAATAATAATTTATTAAAATTTAATATAAGTTTTAATATATAAGTTCATGGTATAATACTAATATTTTCATATTAATAAATACTATTTTTAAATTTAATACTATTGTAAGAAAATATTAATAATTTAATTATTTTAAGTTAAAATTTTATTTATTATAATTATAAAAATCAAAAGAATATAAAATACTTTAGCTAGTTTTAGTATTGAAACTCTCTTATCACAAAATAGTTTTTTATAAACTTTGATAAATAGATTGTATATTTATATATTATAAAAATTAAAGATTTAATAGAATATAAATATATTGGTTAAAAAAAAGTTTTTATTAAAATTGATATTTGTTTATAATTTAATATAATTATTTCATAGATAAATTATAATAAGTTATATAAAAAAAATAGTATAATAAAATAAGATGATATTTAAAATTTTATAGTATATAGATAATTTATAGATATTTTATAATAGGTACTATAAAAAATATATATAATAGAATAAGTTATAAAAATATTTTAAATCTAAATTATATGTAACAAATTAAAATAAGAATTCAAATATAAGCAAAAGAGTATTAGAGTTTTTTTAATAACAAATTACAAAAGTTAAATTAAAAAATATCAATAATTTGAATTGATTGTAACTTTTAATTATATAATTATCAAACAAATATTTTTATATATTAAAATTAACTTTATTTAAAATATAAATTAATACAATATATTTGAAATTATATTTGATGGTTTAATTAATAAGTTCAATTTAATTGGATCTTTTAAATTCTCTAATAATAATATAAACATTTGAATTTCATTAAATTATGATATTTATTAAATAATAAAATTATAATATTTATTAAATAATAAAATCATAATATTGGTTTTTATTATCATTATTTTAAAATTTATTATTAAAATTTTATATCAAATAGTATAGATTAACCAAATAAAAGTAAATTTGATTTAATTCAATTGTTAAAATAATAAAACTCTATTACAGTAGTATTAGTAAAAATTTTATTGAAATTCTAAAATCAAATTTACAATGTATAGATTTACATGAATTTATATAGTATATCTAATAATTATTATAATAACTTGCTTATATCTTATTTATTAAATTTATTAATAGTTGAAAATTTCAATTCAATTAAATAGTCGAGATAATTGGTTTTATTATGAAATCAGAATCTACTATTCATTTAAAACTATTGGTTGTTTTTTTTTTGTTAAATTAATTGCTAATACCTTCTCATCTATTGAATATGCAAAAACTTCAAATGATATCATGAAACGCAATAAAAAAGACAGTAGAAATATTGAAAGGGCGATAAAAATCTTGATAATAATAAAAATTGACAGTTGGACACAGTGATTTCGAAATTGTATATTTATATGACAATTAACTTATTAAATAATGATGATAATGAATGTCGTTATTTGGTAAGCATTAATTGGTCTAAATATTTTGGTAATTTTTATTTACAAAACATATGCGGCGCACGAGTTTTATTAAATTAGGCTAATGGTTGAAAAGAAAAATCAAATATTTGTTTTTACATCTATAAGGACTCAATTGAATAAGGATCTAGTAAATATCATAAAAGGAGTATAAAGAAAATTCCGAATTCCCTTAATGTCTCTCTTATTTACAATTGAAGCTGGTTACAAGATCAATCGATAATACAACATAGAACATTGTATATGACAGATAAAGTAAACTGTACATTGATTGAAATCCAATTTACATACCGAACCCATTTAATGAATACTCTACCCATCCAGAAATAACCCAACCTAAATTTTTATGATACCCCAACAGCAGTTACAATTTTGAGCATATGAATGATCTGTGTTGACTCCTAGCGTAACATGACCTCTTTCATCGGAATTTATCGCAAATACCCTTCAAAGCTCTTAACGGATTAAAGGTTATAGCTTTAAAAAGTCCTTTTAAAGTAAACAAATCCGTTCTCAACAATGTCCCTTGAAGTCAGCAAAACAATTGGGAATCTTACTTTCCTGATCTGATCTGATTTTTGGTAGAGTGTAATGACCAAACCCTTTTGTTTCCGAAGTATATATGGGACTCAATAATATCAACATAGACATACAGAATTATTCTTTGATCATGATTATTGCCCGGCCGGATACACTAATCGTTAATATCTGCAGAAGAGGGAGAATCTGGGAATGAGTAAATGAGGGAATGAGCATACCAATCAGAACGAAGATGAATACCCACACTCGATATGCATTGTCAATCTCAACACCCTCATACCAAACCACAGACACTCTGAATCTGTCAGATCTATTTTTTTCACCCCTCTTCTCTCGCAACGCCTTCGCAACCTGTCGTTCATCCTTTGGGCAAACCCGGTTAACGCCATATGGTGCCAGTACCTCTCATCCTCATGGTTGTACAAATATCTGAAACGCACCAATGGAGCCTCCCAGCCATCAAGGAGTTGTTCAACGAAATCCGCGTCTAAGCTCATGTATAAATCCAAATACCTTAACCACCTTGTCCCTTTCAATTCCCTGAGCGGAGGCAATTCGCAATTTTCCAACAGCAAATCACTTTTCGATCGGTTATAACATTTCCTTGCCACCTTCAACTTTTCCAATTTCATGTTCGCGCCCTTCAACATCTTTCCCAGCGATTTATCACACGAGTTATAACTACGCACCGTCAGATTCCTCAATTGTGTGCATCTCTCCCCCACTATTGGGAGTATCTTAATGTAGATTTTCTGATTCAAATCCAAGTCCAATGCCCTCATCGACTGCCCATTCAATTCCAAGAAGGCACGTGTGTTATCCATCACCGATTTTTCCGTATTTTTACATGGTTTACCGATTAATTCGAATTTACGCATTTCCGGGAAACGCAAACTCCACAGAGGCTTCAAATTGTCGTAAGTTTCCGGATGACAAAATAAGAAATCAATGGTCAGATTTTTTAGGCGGGAATGTGAGATCAAATACCACAATGCACTGCTGTCAACAACCGACACATTAACTAATGTCAAACTCTCAATTGTGGTCACGTGAAAACTTATGGATGCGATCACTTTTTGTGTCACCGTGATGTTTTCCAAATGAAGGTGACGAATGGATCGTTGACTGGTGATTAATCGAGATAGGCCGTGTGTGGATTTCGAGAAGTTGCAAGAGCGAATGTATAAAGAAGATATATTTTTACAGCGGGCGGAGAATTCTGAGAGGAGATCGTGCGAGATGTTAAAGACATCGAAGTCCAAGGTGGTAATGTGAGGAAGCGCAGCGACGCAGTCAAGTGATAATTGGTGGGTGCAGAAATAAAGAAAGATGGTATGAAGAAAACTGTACTCAGCAAAGGAATCGAATTTTATATGAGTGAGACGGGTAGCTCGTGTTACGAAGTGCTTGAAGAGTTCGCGAGTCATCTCAATCTGGTTTGTCCTATTATCATTGTTTCCATAAATCGAATTTCCCGAAAGATCCATTATGACAATGGTGGTGCGCAGCCATTCATTTATAACTTTACACAACAAATATACATTCAGCGACCTCGTGAATTGCGGATAATTAAATATGGGCGGAGGTCTCGGCGGTAATCTCAAGATTCGCGTATACCGATTCGCAATCTGTAGATTTTCCATATTATTGTGCGGATGAGGTTCGGCATACACATTTTCGGTTCGCAATTGTAATAATGATATCTGAGAGTTCTCATCCAAACACGACACATAAATTGACATGATGTCTAATAGACGGTCGATGTTTATATCTGACGAGAACGGTGAACTCCAGAGATATGGGATGGCCGCGCGACACCATAGTCGATTCACTAGACAGATCGAGCGGAGGGCCGAAAAATTGGATGGCTTGATGAAGGAAAATATGAGTTCAAGAAGTGGGAGTTGGATAAGCACTTGTGTAGTTGCATTTGGATTAATGTAACAGTTGTGAGGATTATGATGTCGAGAGGAAGTGTCGGGATTCTGAGAGAATGTGAAGAAACGAGAGATTAGAATGATCACACGATGAACTAAAAAAAAAAAAAAGGAAAGAAAGAAAGAAAGAAAAATCGCTCGGTTCAATTATTACCAATATTCGAGACAAGTTCATTCCTACGAAATAGTGAAAGAAATTTCTATATTCTTGAAAACTCGAAATACCGTGATGCTCTGATAACGCTGCTCCACCCTATAACGTGTACGCGCATACGTGCTTTTTTTTTTTTTCTCACGAATTTATATAAAGAAACGAAAAAAAAACATGCGCACACACGTACGTGTACACCTGATTTTTCGTTATCTACATTTTTTTTTGATAAGGCACGCAGGTATCCATGTAAATTTTAATTTGATAAGAGGTTGGTAATACCCAAGTATTCGCTGATAAGACAAGCGAAATTATTAATGATCATGTGAAATTACCCATATATGTATATCGGATTATGTCGGGATAAGGCATGAGTATTAGTCTGGTACATTTCTGTGTTATCAGTGTATCCGAATCGTTCATAGATAATGGTATCAGTCGAGAGCCGAATTGTGCGATTATGCTTATTTAGAAAGCCCGAATCGGTTTCACAAGTTTTTTTTTTTTTTTTTTTTTTTTTTTTTGCAGCCTAACCGGTTGACTTATAATTGCTGCAAAGGGTACGCTGGTGAAAAATCCCAACCTGGGGCACCAAAAAGAATATTACTCATTCCTTACAATTTCTGCGAAAACAAAATGAAGGACATTCCTGGAAAACCTTTCCCTTATAAAGTCGACAATCGATAATATAGTTAAAGCACTTTTCGTACGAATTTGGGAAGCAAATGACGAAAATATGCTCGAGAAAGCTTAACCCCCCCCCCCCATAATTCGACAATCGATAACATAGTTAAAGCACTTTTCGTATGAATTTACGAAACGGAAAATTTAAAGTCGACAATCGATAACATAGTTAAAGCACTTTTCGTATGAATTTACGAAGCGGAAAGCTTAAAGTCGACAATCGATAACATAGTTAAAGCACTTTTCGTATGTATCTGCGAAACGGAAAACTTAAAGTCGACAATCGATAATATAGTTAAAGAAAGCACTTTTCGTATGAATTTGCGTAACAAATTTAGAAAATATGCTTGAGAAAACTTACTATCGGCGATAACATGAATTTGTCGAAATAGTATTGCTTGAGAAAACTTACTATCGGCGGCATAAGAAATGTAGCAACATTTAACTCCTTTTGCAGCTTGCGAAAACTTGCAATTTCGTATAATAATATGGTTGGTAACTTTGTTTTAGAAGGCGAGACACTCTCACTATCTATCATCTACTGTATGTCAATAATAATTAATAGTATACCTTGAAAAAACTTCAATAATGTAATATAGTCGTAATATGAAACCCAGAGAAAATATACTCGAAAAAGCTTAACTTTTCTTGCGAATTTGCAAAATGAGAAAACTTACCATATGCCATAATTCGCGAAAAAAAATCGAGAATATGCTAGAGATAACTTAAACCTCATTTTTTTTTGCTTTCCTCGTGAATTTATGAAATGGGAACAGGTTTTTTTTAAAATCCCAGTTATCGGCGTAGTAAATTGTGAGTTTATGGTAGAGCGTATTGCCGGCAAAACATACGAGGAAATATAGTATTAACAATTGATCCGTTTTGTTAGAATGACAAAACCCGCTTTCGTAGGAATTTACGAAAAAACCGAGAAGTCAACATTTACGGAACTAGAATGCCCCTGAAAAAACCCAACTCCCATTAGCAATATCCTCAATATACAATTTGACAGTAGAATATACAGTATTATAATTTACCACTGAACGATCGTTTTTGTGCAACGTGCTAAATATTTATTCGTTCCTTACTGTGTTATTCCCATGTCTATCAAATAAATGAGTTTCTTTAAAGTAAATTCACACGATAGCACAGTGCGTCCGCAATTCCTTTAATCTTCACATTCAAATGTAGTTCAATTTTTTAACAATCGAATTTGCTTTGGTTCAAACTGAATCAAACCAATCATTCACTTGCACAACACAATCACTCGCACAATCCAAATGCCACCTACCCATTCTTTTCACCATGCATAATATTATGCCGATTTTGATAATATAATATCTCAAATAGTGTAAAAAAAAATAAAGAACAAGAACAAAAGTCAAATACTGTGTTTCCTACTAGGATACATTAAATTTTTTAAATTAATAATTATAAAATAATAACTTTTTATTATTTAAGTTATTAATAGTAATTAAGCAAGTAAAAACTTTTTTAAAAATTTTTATGTACCATAAATCTAATAATAAGTTTTTTAATTTCAAATTTTTATTTTTATATAATATATATCTCTTTATTTTTTATTTATCTCTTGTAATTTACCTTAGCAATCTAATTGTTAACAAATAATTTACTTAATAATCAATTAATAATAATTTTATAAATTAAAATAAAATCTAATTATTAACAAATAATTTACTCAATAATCAATTAATAATAAATTTATAAATTAAAATCAAAATAAATTTATAAAGAAATAAAATATTACTTTTTAAATTAAATTTCACAATAATACAATTTTTTTAAAAATAATTATTATTACCTATATAATAATAGAAATAAAAGTATTTTTATATTTAAATAAATTATATAAAATATAAAATATTGTGTTTTATATTTTATATATTATATAGTTTTTGATAAAAAAAATTCTTTTTATATAATATTTATTATATAGATTTATGTTTTTTTTAAAAAAACAAAATTTTATTATGATTATTAAAATGCAATTAAATTTATATTTAATTAGTATATTCAAGTAAAATTGCTTTTAAAAAGACAATCCTTAAAGAAAGAATTTAAAATATAATTTATTATAATGAAGAAATATTTAAGAATAGATTCATTTAAAAAAATTTTAAACAATAATATACAATATTTTAAAAAAATATATTTATTTGAAATTCATATTCATTAATAAATTAAAAAGAAAATACCAATTTTTTTAATTTTAGTATTAAGAGAAAATATTTAATCTTTCAAAGTTAAATAAAGTTATTTTTATAAACTTATTCTATTTTTAAATAAATTATTACTTCTTATATATTTATTAAAATAGATTATTTAGATATTTTAAGTCTCTTATATTATCTAATCTATATTAAATTATATTACTATATATATTATATTTAATAAAGTAATCTTTATTAATTAAATACAAAATATTAAAAAAATAGTAATTATAAATAAATAAATAAAAATGGAATGAAAAAATTATAGTTAAAAATATTATTTAATAATATTAGATATTATTTTTAGTATAACACTAATAATAAACTAATTAAATATATAATTTATTATTAATAAAACAAGTCTCAATTTATTTACTTTTATTAGAACTTATAATATTATTTCAATAACTATTATTTATATTATCATAAAAAAAATAATATAATATAATATTAATTTTAATATTCAATAATTAATATATATAATTTTAAAACAA